CTGGTGGAAATGTTGTACTCTCAGTTGGTGTTGGCATCGATGGTTGAGCTGGTTCTGCTGATGGTGGTTCGGCCTTTGGTATTGGTGATGGTGGTGCAGGTGTTGGTGTTGGTCTTGGTGCTGGAGGTGGTTCTGATGATGGTTGTCCTGTCTTTGGCAGTGGTGATGGTGATGCAGGTGATGGTGTTGGTGATGGTGATACTGGAGATGGTTGTCCAGTTCGTGTTGCACTCCTGGCTGGGGCTTCTGTGGATGATCTGGCAGGTGCTTCTGCTGGGGTTTCGGGGACATCTGCATACGGATTATCACTTGGGGCTACACCAATGGGAACATCTGGGGTTTCTTAGTACTGACGATTCATATGGCTATATGGCTATATAACCCATAGACCGATGGGGGTAAACCACCACCTCTCCTGGGAATGCTCTGGAATGCGTCAGTCCTAAACACAAGATGTCCACTGGGAGCCCTCTCAAGTGGAATGTGAATCGCGTCCGATCCTCAGCTAATGGTATAGCTACCCGTGGCTGTGAGGGTGAGCATTTCCCTGCCAGGTGCCATTTCCAGCACGGCGTTGTGATTGCTCATGCTCCTCAAGCCAAGTAGTGCCGGGAGGTCACGGCCCTCCCCTTCTACCATTGGGGTTTCGAAGTTGAATGATACAGATTCTCCCCTAACCAATGGACCATCACCTTCTTCCGGTTGAGATCGGGGGTGGATGATGTTGGGTATTGCTATCGGCAATGTGGCAACATGCGTACAGCTTTGAGTACCCTGTCCTACTCCCCTGACGGCCATTGGATTAGTCATGGACTTACGCGTCGACCTCAAGCCCGCATTCCGCGCGGCTGTGGCTTGGCGTTCAGCCCACTGCTGACCTGCTAGATTGGTCCATGCCCCGGGATCAACTACAATTGATTGGTGACCAGGCACTTGGGTGGATGAATGGTAAGTTGTTGTGGCTCCAGACGCCTCTGCTGTCTCAGGCCACCATGGAAAAGTGGGTGTCCCATGTGGTGTCCTAAACTCATCATGTTGATCTGCTCTTGGAGATGTGGGTGCAATGTAGCGATAATGTGCAACTACATGTCCCCCACCACGGCAGCATGGGCATGTTGGATTTTCTTCCCTCAAAAGAACTTCAGTCCAACAATTTTCATGGAAGGTATGCCTGCAGGTCAATCGCACCAGTTGTTCTCCTGCACTATATTCTTCCAAACAGATGCTGCAGCGGTGTTCATCCCCTAAGTATTCAACATTGGTGTGTTCGGCATGTGGTATTACCATGGGTTCTGCATTATTCGAGGGCACAGCAGTGGGGGCCGGATTCACCTCACTCCTCGAACCTTCCGAGCCTCTGTTCCTCATCTCCTGCAAGGTCATCATCGTCCGGTGTTGATGATGAAGAGCACGTACCTGCGGATGGTTGAATGCTGGTTCACTGACCTGTCCGGATGTTCTAGAAGCTATTGGGACCTCACGCAGCTGGCTTGCCTGATGAAAGTCCCCCACAACTTGACTACGGATCGGGTCAAGAGTGCTGATAGCATTTTCCGAAACAATCGGATGGTAGGTCGGTGCATGCACCTCCGAGGCAGTTCCCTGCAGGAAATTGAACTCAGGCATTGACGCCCATTCTGGTAATTCCGGTGCCGGATGCCGAAGGATCACCGTGGGGATCTCCCCTGGTCCCACGATCAGTGGGTGTTGCGACACTTCGTGCCGTTGGACCTGTGGTAATTGCATTGGTGGTGGTTGCATGTTTTGGGCAACATATGGTTCTTGAATAGTAGTCGATTCTGCAACAGGTTGCTGTGAAAATGGTTCATTGTTTACATTTCTGCCCTGTGTATTAGTGGGGTTATTCTGGGGAAGATTATTCATTGGGTTAGTGGCTAGTGGGGTGTTATGGGTGAATTGGTTCATCAGTGGCGGTCCGAATGATCGTGGTTCCGTGGTCGGATGCATCAGGCCATTCAGGCCGTTGAAGACACTCTGCATATACAAGGATTGGTCGGCCATGTCCACTGTCCGGGTCGTGCGCGGCAGTGGTGGCATAGGGTTCACAATCCCCCCAACGACCCGCCTCCCTGTCCTGCTCTCGTGGTACCGCCTCCAAGGGTCACTGTTGGCCCACGGGTCCTGAGGTACAGCTGGCAACGTGGATGCATTTGAGGGAGGTCCGCCAGAAACTGTTGACCAATGATCAGTTCCGGATTCCTGTCCAACATTGACATCCACTTCATTAACCATGAGGACCGTGGTTGATGTGATTACCCCTGGGGGAATTTGGTCGACGGTATCCAAGTCTACAAACAGGTTCTGCGAAGTGTCACCAGCGGCAGCCCGTCTGGGGCATTTGGCGACCAGATGTTCTTCCGAACCACATTCGTGGCATTTCATCCTACGTCCATCCGGGCCTCTTGGATTGCCCTTTCTGCCCTTGCCCTTGCCACTCCCTGCCCCTTTCTTTCCACCTTTTGCCCTAAAGGCAGGGAAAATTTCCATGAGCTGGGATTCATTGAGTTCGGACAAGTAAGATGAAGTATTGATGATCTTGCCTTTGGGTTTTCCATGCTTTGACTTACCACCTTTTCCACCTTTATGGATGGCTCTGCGAGCAAACCTTCGAGCTTTTCGGGTCGGCTTGCCCATGAATGACCTCCAACGTGCCTTGGCACGGGAATAGGCCCAGTAGAGCTCAGCAGCCTGTTCATTGGCCGTGGCACCCTCAGCAGCTGGCCAGGATTCATCTCCATAGTCACTGCTGGTATCGGTGTCGGTGCCACTGTCACCCTGACCATCTGACAAATACACGTATGGATCATGTGGCTGTGTATAAGTAGGGTATGCTTCGGATGACTGCCATGGGGATTGCCAAGAACTGTGGTCATGCCATGAACTACTGGGTTGGTCATACTGAGATGTGGGTACATTTTCATTCCATGTGTGATCGTCCTGAATATGGTAACTGTGTGTTGGATTTTGTCTACCCCGCAACATATTGGACATATTTCCTGGTGCATTTTCAATGATCCTACCCATGCGTCGAATGGCACCTTTCAACTCCGTGAACTGCTGTTCATCAGCAGGGAGAGCACCACCGAGTGGCTGCAGTAATTGGATCAATTGAGAATCCGAGACACCAACTGCTCGGATCAGCAACCAAGAAAGACCAGCATAGCTCAGGGCGAGCCCACCTGTCTCTGCCGCACGCATGCGGGTAGTATCAAACCTGGTCAGCAAAGTGTCGATCCGTTCATTGGATTCCCTTCCAAATGACAACAGATCTCCTACTGCCCCTAGCCTGACTTCCTCACCTAGCCTGGCGAATCGGGTGCTGAGTTGATACATCAGAAACGTTAGTGGGTCGGTTTGGGTACCATTTACGGTCCCCCCTGTCAGAATGGTCTGCGGCGGAAGTGTTCTGCTGAACTCCCTAGCTGATCCCTGCAGCTGAGAAATCACACTAGCCGCCTTCCGAGATGCATCCCCATCCGTAGCAATGCTCCAAATCAAGATGTCTCTAGACCAAGTGCTAAAGCTATACTGATGTTCCATTTCTGGACTCCATGCGGGGGGCAATCTTGGATGGCTACTCCTTCCTGGCACCATGCAAGCAACTAACGCACATGTGCTGAGGCCGCCTCCAGCGGCTAGCACCAGTGTCGAGTCCGAGAGCGATCTACCTTCACGGTGACCAGCGGTCATCGAACCCGAATTGCCATGGGCTTCAGGAGACTTCACCTTCCGATTGCCTGCTCTAGATCCGTTCATGCACTGTTTCCTGGATCTAATGGCTGCATCTTTCCCATAGACCAGCTCACAGAGTTCCTTGTGACGGGACTTTAGATGTTTCAGCTTAGAGTCGTACATGCTCAGCAATCTTTCAAATACTGATCTCTGCTGCCGTCTAAGCCGCCTACGCAAAAGCTCTGCCCTACGCTGATCTCGAGGGTTCATCTTGAACTTCCTCCTTGAGTGGTGCAGCCGCACCAGGGTCGAATTCAGCTCCTGCCTCCAAAGATCCCCATTCACCAGACTGGGCTTGTACTCGCCTTCGGACCTGGCCTGTACTGGGGCTTTGCGGCCATTGCTCGCTGCATACCAGTGTGTAGTGACACTGATCGAGCCTGCCCCAACCGCACTGGACTGGATCACAAGAGCGCTGGTATTGCGACTCTTGATCACCAGCCCAGTACTGGCTGAGACAGACCCCACCAGTGCCACTACTAACACGGCACACAACTTCAGCACGGCGGTGAACATGATGACAATCAATGGAGTAAGGATGAAAAGAAAATGAAAACAGTCGAGTCGACCCTTAGGGTATAGCAGATACCTTAAATGGGGGTTACTGCCGGGGTTCCCGGCTCCGCTACCAACTCGAAAAAGAGAGGAACTAACGTGACAAAGAAGTACTGTTTCCGCAAATGTCTGTTTTCCTCTGACTGCTTGTGACGAGGTCTTGTGTTTACCTAGGTCGAGCTCTAGAGCCAGAACAGTTACATGGACAACAATGAACCTGAGGTATGATAGATCATGTACCTTTCAAGTAACATTGCCAAACTAAACTACTTGTGCAATGATGGGAAAGCTGAATGTGTAAACGCACGGGGCTGTGTTCTTGGGCTGGATTTTGCCAGAGTGACAAGTGCAGGACTCCGAATGCAATACACTGAATACACAATTGATCGCAGTTGTAGCAGTGTGCCTGAGGGAACCCTGCGCCATGGCTCATGGCACAATGTCCCTTTCACGGCTGCGCTGAAATATCTGAAATGGTACTTCGGCTGGCACGTGAGTTACCACTCTACGGCATTCTACCATTGTGTCTCCTAAGTTAGAAGAATGCTTTCCAGGATCTTGTAGCTCTTACATCACGCTTGTGCTAACAGCACAGGTCCCCTTGCAAGCAAGACTTACCTGAGCAAACTGTCGTTTTCATTGCCTGAAAACCAACTGTTTGGGGCCTTTGGGCCCTGACTTCAGACCGGCTCCTCCATCTAACCTCCTGAGTGATTCCAATGCATTGCGCCAGCGGCTCGGCGGAAGGCTCCGAATCTCCCGCACCTCAGAGTCTGGTCAAGAAGAAATAAGAAAAAAACAAATCCTATGAACATCTGAGATTACGATATCTTTAAATTTAACAAGGATGATTTGGAATATCATAATCTTGCACTAGCATTGTGGTCGCAATGAAGAAAAACCATTTAACATAATGAGGTAGGCAATCAAAATGATTTCGAAGGGTTTGTTGTTGCAGTAAGCACAAAAAACTTTCGGAAACTGGTCTACTGGCAAACAGCTGCCTGCGATGACTCTAGCTAGGTTCACAGATGTTCACAGCAACTTGCTATCACTTGTTAAACGCTCTGTTTGATGGACACAACGCTGACTGCATCGAAGTCCATTCATGCACTGAAGCTACATATGCTTCAAATTGTGCTCAAACATCAGCAAACATGGTAGAGCTCAAGGGCAACAACATACAGAATTTATTTGCACCTAACAAACTAAGCAAACTCACAGAAAAGATCCAGAATACCTGGCATGCATCATATAGGAACTCATCTTTTACCTTCCATGGTCCAAACATTGTGTGCTTGTCTTGAGAGGATATTCATGGACATTCAACCAGTGCAAAAACATTTGCAATATCAAAAAGAAATGGACGCCATGGACGTTCAAAAAACTAGTTTTGGGATGTTTTTGGATAGTTTTGGTAGATTTTGGGACATTTAAGGACCGAGTCCAAGAGCTTCCCAAACCAGTCCTGGAGAGAAGTGCGCTGAGCTCCTGACCACAGCCACTGCTGCTGGAACCCGACCCGTAGCCGGCATCGGGTCGCCGGCAGAGGAGCGTCACCATCAGAACCGGGACAAAGAATACCAAAGGACCAGCGGAGGCAGCGGAGGTAGAGTTTTTGCCACGTGACTTGATAATTGAGAAACTTGTTTGATCTTGTTAGGGGTGTTTGAACTCTATCATTGATGGAAACAACCATGTAAGGCAGCATTGCGATGGACATAGTGGACAAGTACAAACACAATCTTGTCGAATCCCTTGCTCGAAGCGAATGATGTCATTCCAACGAACATGGTGTGCCGGGGTCAAATGGGCTTGCATTGCTGCTCAGCTTCGGAGGACGAGTTTACTTTAATTTAATCATGGCTCTGCGAGACATTCAAACTCAACAAATCTGACACAACCCTGAGCACCACCTGAAGCTTTGCTGAGAAAAGAACCATACCAGATTTGATTCGCATGTTTTTTTAAAATCTTTTTTGGCAAATTTAAGAAAACCTTCAGGGAAATAATTCCTTGAATGGTGTCTGACTCCTGGTCCGTGTGCACATTTCTTGTCGTTTTTTCTCAGTCTGCAAAATGTGAGAACATGACTTTATGATGAACAACACACAGTTCCTAAAACTCCCCCCAAAACAGGCACAGTGAAATTTCAAGCAACTGATTTGGCTCCTTGATTAGCTTCCAACCAGTGGCTGTACAGCAATAGTCCACCTCTTCTTCCATGAATTCTGAGATATGACGTCTAGCCTCAAATGGCATCATCAAAAGTTCCACCACAGAATTGAATAGGCAAATCAATGTCCAAAAGAAGTCATCGTGCTGGGAACCCATTTTTGTGCACGTTCCGCATAAAATGAATGCCTGCAAGTTGCTTTAGGATGCTTTGGGAAGAAATTGGAACTGTTAACAATCTGTGGGACTTGTAGCCCGTCAGTCTGTGAGCTGAAACAAACGAGATTTTGAAGACTCCCGGTTTACGATATTTTAGGGCCCTTGACTTGGATGGCAACCTTCCTCACAGCCTTACAACACAAGATCCATGGGTGTCAAGTGACCTCTCCCAGTTCCATCGAGACGGCGCCCTGTAGCTGGACGAGGGACTCCTGGAGGAATGACGTATCATGGACGTATATCCGGGTTCGAATTTGAGGGAAGGGTCGCACCCGGCTTCTTGTAAGCATAAACTGGTGGGATTTTGAAAACCTTTGTAAAATGGATCGGTTTTTGGGAATTTGGGCCCTTACAAAAAGCATAGGTTTTTAGCACCCACATTCGACTCTAAAATCCGTCATCATTTTGTAAGGTGACAGCTTTCTTCATGATATGAATGTTGTATCCCACTCGATGACCTTTTTATAAGAAGTTGTGATTTCAGATAGCATTTTTGGGTATCATTCTGTAAGGATCTGTAAGGCAACAACTTCCGGTTCCCTGCATTTCTTTCCCGGTCTCGTTGATTTTCAAGCAGCCTAGGATTTTTTTTCTTTGCCACCTTTTGTATTTTTGTATTTTTGTTTCTTTGGCATCATTGCCTACCAGAACTCCTGTCATGATGTCTTGCGTTTGTGTTAATGGTACAAAAAAACACATGACAGTTGAACACGAAAGAACATGTACAAAATGAAAATAGGAGATAGCCGTGAGCGTAGCCACACTTACAACTTGCAAAAGAACCTTGGCCGACACAACACCCGTTGAGAAGAAAGTTGGTGCCTCCACTAAATCCAAAAAGAAATTGAACTCAAAATGGCTGCCATAAAACTTGGACTGTGCCTTACAAAATGACAAGGTGCTTGTAGCCCCAGGAAGCTGCCATGAAAGGGTGTTTTACATTTTGCTGTGTCAACGCTGTGGTTTCGAAAATAGCCAAAACAGCTATCAGATGTTTGAGCCGAATCAAAAACATGCACAGATCTGAACAATAATGTGTATAAATGCCTAAAAAGCATATATTCTATTCTCACAAAATAGTTCTTCTACTCTTGACGACATCTCCTTACAAAATGTCATTGCACAGCCTGCTGAGTTTCTTTTTTTAAATGTTCAATAACAGCATTTTAAATTTTAAGCTTACAAAAAAACTCCAAAAACAAACTTGATGGTCTTATAGAATGAGTTGGCCCCTCAAAACTCTTACAAAATGAACACTTCAAAATGTACAACTTTGACTTTTAGGTGTCCTGTTACAAAATGCCCCGGTTAGGGGGCTTCTTGTATCTACAAAATGCCTATATATACACCATTTATAAGAGGGTCGACCCCTTTCAAACGGGGATGGGCGTATCATGATCTGTCCAGATGATTCCAAATCGTTCTTTGTCCAAGCGAAGCGTGGGAAATCACTGGCAGAACATGTCGATCGATGTCGATGGTGATCAAATCTAGCAAATCAGGGAGCTGGAAAATGGGTACGACGACGAAAACGACACTTGTTGGAAATCATCCCATGTCCACGTCCACGGTAACCCAGCTGATCTGACAAACACAAAACACCAAAAAACTCAAAAATGAGAGCATATGAGAGCCAGGCCGCCTCACTGATGAGATGTTTACTCAAATTACTCATTTGGATGTCATTGGTGGAATTTACAGTTCGGTGTCCCTCCAAATGCGAAAACCCAATACCTTTGTGCTCTTGTGACCATGTGGCCTGTACTCCGGCACGTTGTAGCGCCAGGCTCTCCTGCGCCAAGGCCATCAGGAGAGCTGACAGATCTACAACTAGCCAATCATCATCAATCATCCACAGCAGCCGAACAGTGGATAATGAAATGATAATGAAATATAATGAAGCTTGAATGGGCTACCAGGGCTACCATGCTCATCATGCTCCTTAAAATGATTCTCGCAGCTCCCTCTATCCTATGCGGCCTGTGAGTGCCACATGTAGGGATGACATGACGTAACCGTACATAGGACTGTCATTGACCCTGCTCCTCCTGTCTTTGGGAGGAATCCACATCCTGCCGAGAGGTGTTTTGATCTGCAACGCAGTGGTTACTGCTTTACAAAGGGGGTGGCAATTCTTTTTCCATGCTTTCTATCTTGACAGCGTTGATCACTTGATATATCACTTGATTGTCACTTGAATTGCAAAAATGACCAGACTCTGCGGATTCGTAGGATAGCTGAGCCCTAGTCGTAATTACATGGCCTTACAATGTAGGACATTCGCCTACTGACATCCTTGGAGTGGGACTAAATTCTGGCTATGCATGGATTCAATTGGATTAATATAGATTGGAAATAGATTGGAATGGGATATCCAGCATTATCCAGCCTGTTCCCGTCCCAACTGATCCAATATTTCGTCTCGTGTTCTACTGCTCCACGCTGGTACAGGTCAGGGCAAGGCAACTCGAAGGCCCAACAGATCCCAACAGAACACATGGGCCAGGGATGGCCAGGGTTCATTGTGAGGGGGAAGCCCAATGGTTTTAGGGGTCAACGTTCCTCTGGTTTAAGCATTTCACCCATGAGTATTTAATATTAACATTTCACCCATGAGTATTTAATAAAGCACTTGAGGCCGGGGGTGGATGACGAAAGCTAGCGGGGTAGGAGAAAGAAGGAAGGGAAGAGGTGAGTTGCGGAGGGACTGTCATCATCGTGTCGCGGCATTGTTCGTCCCAACGAGGATGCAACAATGATATATTGATATATGATATATAACAATGATATATAACAATGATATATATGGGGGAGGGGGCAGGGGGGGCCCTTTCGCGGGAAAAATCACGTGATGTCCTTGGGGAGCCCCGGAATACGTGCTAAAGCAAGAAGACTCTAGCGAGCTGACGCTAGCTTTCGTGATAATGACAATAATTGCCAATAATGATAAAATGTAATTGAATAACGATGATGATGATGATGATGGTGATGATGATGATGACGATGATGATGATGAATGATGAATGATGAATGATGAATGATGAATGATGAATGATGATGATGATGATGATGATGATGATGATGATGATGATGACGAGGACGCGGACGAGGACGATGGAGAGGACGATGACGATGATGATGACGATGATGATGACGATGATGATGATATGATAGATGAGATAGATAGATAGATAGATAGATAGATAGATAGATAGATAGATAGATAGATAGATAGATAGATAGATAGATAGATAGATAGATAGATAGATAGATAATGATGATGACGAGGATGCTGATGATGATGATGATGACGATGACGATGACGAGGACGATGACGAGGACGACGATGATGATGATGATGATGATGATGACGAGGACGCGGACGAGGACGAGGACGATGGAGAGGACGATGACGATGATGATGACGATGATGATGACGATGATGATGACGATGATGATGACGATGATGATGATGATGATGGTGGTGATGGTGGTGGTGGTGGGGGAGGGGGGGGGCCCCCTTTCGCGTGAAAAATCACGTGATGTCCTTGAGCAGCCCCCCCAATACTTGCTAAAGCAAGAAGACTCCAGCTAGCTGACGCTAGCTTTCGTGATTTCACCCATGAGTATTTAATAGTATTTAATAGTATTGAATAGTATTTAATAGTATTTAATAGTATTTAATAGTATTTAAATGATTTCAAATTCAACAATGTATTTCATGAACCTGAAACTTGACGCCAATCTTGGTGGGCTATAGTGGAGTCTTGTTGAATTCTTTTGCCCTTTGCAGCCCTGAGTTGGAGTCCCAAGATGTCCCAAGTCTCCTGAGTCAGAGCCACTCGAAGCTCCGACAGCCCAGCACACCACTCCTGCCAGCTCCCAGCAGGCCACATCGTCTGCGCAAAGTCAATGGGGTCGATGATTTCACATTGGGTTGGGTCATGTTGGGTCAATGTTTATCAAGGGATACACTGGATATCACTGGATACATACAATGACAACACGGAGGTTCGTCGAATTTCGATTTCATTAAACTTCATAACTACAAGATCGTTTCAACATATTACAACTACAAGGCATGGTGAAGACTCGACCTGTGGAATCGGCATCAGCGCAGTCCTTTGCAACTGCACCCACAGACTCCTGGATTCCTTCCTGCGGTGGGAAACTTGACCACCCACCCATTCAAAGGATG